TAAAGCACAGTGAAGCATAGGCAAAGAAGTAGTGGTAGTGACTAAAGGAAAGGGCACCTGGCAGTTTGTCTGAAAGGCTTCTGATTAAGTGTGGGTTATTTAGAGATATAGGGCAGCTAGGTGGTACAGTAGATAGAACGCCAGGCTAAGAATCAGGAAGATTTGTCTTCCTGCATTCAAATCTGGCCTCAGACACTTACTAGCTGTGTGACTCTGGGCAAATCACTTAACCCTATTTGCCTCAGTTTCCTCATCTGTAAAATGAGCTGGAGAAGGAAATGGCAAACCACCCCAGTAACTTTGCCAAGAAAACCCCCAATGGGGTCTTAAAAAGTTAGGAAGGACTAAAAACAACTGAACAACAAAAATTTAGAGAAATGCTCTAATCATGATATCACTACTGTTACTAAGTCTGACCCATATCTTTCTGAAATAACAAAATTAACTGCAGTTTGAATGAGATTTGGAAGGTTTTCTGATGCAAGAGAGCCAGTAGGATCCTGGGTCCCCTTCTGATAAATTCTCTATGATTGCAGCGTTCCTTGTCTTGCAGAGATTTCCAAGCAGTATTTCTTCTGTGAGATCTGTGACCTCTAGGGAACAGTCACATAAGTGCCTTGGCAAGCTGCCATGGTCAGGGAATTGGCCAGTGACAAATTGACAGCCTCAGGGCTCTGTCCTTGGTCCTGATTGGTTAAACATTTTTATCAATGACCTGGATGAAAGCATAGATAGAATATTTATCAAGCTTGCAATGGCATGAAGCTGAGTGAGCTCTCTAATATGCCAGAGGACAGAGTGAGGGTTCAAGAAGATCTTGATTTGCTGAAACGATGAAGCAAATCTAACAAGATGAAATTACATTTATCAGAAAGATAAAATTCTGCACATACATTAAAAAAAAACAGCTACAACATTATAGGTTAGTGGTGTGGTAGCTGGAAAAGGACAGAGGCTTTTAATGACCAGCAAACTCACTATGAGTCTGCAGTTTAATGTGACAGCCAAGAAAGCTAATGTAATCTCAGGCCACATTAATAAAAGGATAGGGTCCAGAACATGGCTACTAATGATCCCATTGTATCCTTCCCTCCTTGGTCAGACCACATTTAGAGTATCGGGTTGACTCCATATTTTAGCAATGACATTGTCAAGCTGGAGCACAGCCAGGATAAGGGAGGAGGGCATCCAGGGGAGGGATGGGACTTAAAAGCCTGAGGAGCTCTTGAAAGAACTGAGGATGTTAAATATGGAGGAAAGACCACCTACATGGAATAACTACCCTGATGAAAACATAGATCTTTCAAAGTATCACTGCAATTCAACATCACAGCAAAAGATTTCATTGTCATTGACAAGAAATGCTGATTCCAATAAATACCAACTTGCTATTTCCAAAGCTCCTTTCTATGTTTAATTAACAATACAGTGGTAGACTCCATAGAGAATACACTTGACCCTCAGGGCTCAATGTGCTTTTGAGAGAAGGTTCACAATGCATACTTTCTTTCTGTGACTTTCTTTTCTCCTGTCTCTTTGGACATTCCTTATAGCTGGAGGAGAGGCATGAAATTAGCTAGGCTAAAAGTTGGGTAGTAAGAGCTCATAGGAGCCTGCCTAAAGAAGGTAGACTTGAAGGTTCTGACTAAATAATGAAAAGGAAAATAGCATGTAGTTTGACAAATGAAAGAATGCTTTTTATTCTACATCTGTCTGTGCAAAGGGGAAGACTCCAGGCTGAAAGCCTGAGTACCTCATAGCAGAGGGAGGGAAAAGTGTACTTATGCACACTTACAAAGTCATTTTAATGATTTGTTTCCTATTCTTAATCCATGAGTATTCCACTGAAGTGAGAACTGCTTGTCATTTACTCCAAGCCCCTCCTATTTCATTTTTGAAATGTGTTTTTTATAGACCCATTGTGTATTTGCTCACTTGGCTCAGTGGGTTGAGCTTCCTTGATTCTGCTCTCTGAGGATGTCAGTGTGTCAGCTAACCCAAGGATGGCAGCAGTAATTGTTACTCTGGTACTGAACAGTTCAGTAATCACTGTAATAAAGTCACGCAGAAGGGTTTCTGCACAAGTTAATGTTGGCTCCAGACAGCTCTCCTGGGTGCTGTTCACTTTGCTTTGCTTCTTTGCAGAGTTCCAGTGAACTGTTTACCAGGGTACTAAAATCTGGCAAAATCCTCAACTTCCAAAAGCATTTCTATTCTGTCTTCTAGCATATGGTGGAGAAAGGAGTGACAGTTGCAGGAGGACGGGTGTTTAAACCTGACAACAAATGCAACTACAGAGACCTCTATCCTTTTTTGGTGTCAAGGCCTTTACTCAATCAAGTATTTATTTATTAAGTACCTAACATAAGTCAGGGACTGTGCTAAGATGCAGAGACAAAAATGAAATGTTCCCTTCTCTCAAAGTTGATACCTTGCGCTAGGGAAGATGATACGTAAATATCACAGGATCTCAGAATTCAAGAATTCAGAGGAATCTTAGTGGCTATTTAGTCCAACCCATGCCCCAAAGTAATACCCAGTGTTACATATGCAATAAATGGTTGCCTAGCCTGTGATTGAAGACTTCTAACAGAGAAGGAACTCACCACCTCTCAAGGCTGCCCATTCTACCATTCAACCAGCTCTAAGTGTTAGGAAGTTTTGTTTTGTTTTGTTTTTTTCCTTGACATCAAGCCTAAATTGGTCTCTTGAAAGTTGCTCCAGTTCTGTTCTCTGAGTCCAAACAAAATAAATCTAATACTTCTTTCATATGGCAGCCATGCAAATACTTGAACATCGTCTTTTCTTCTTTGGGCTAAACCTTTCAACCAACACTCATATGCCATGGACTCATAGTGCTTCATCATTCTCATTATCCTCCCTAGGCTGTCCCTGTAAAGTTGGGATGTCCAGAACTAAACATAATTAATACTCTACTTACATATGTAACTAGTTACCAGATAAATTCATGGAATCAGTTCTGTGGGCTGAAAAGTATGACCTGAGATGACACCACATGTTAAACTTTAACTGATCAGCAATTTTACTGGCCTATACAGTAGAAAGGTAGAAATTCTTTCCTCAAAAACTCTTCTTGATTGATTTCATTGCTGAGTGGTCAGCCTTCTAGTGATGAGTCTCTCCAATGTTTAGCTAGGCTTGTCCTTGGCCATCATCTGTTGATCAAGGCTTCTTCAATTTGACAGTATCTGCTAGAGTTTGTGTTCTACTGGCATGACCTCCAAGAAGCAACCTCTAAAACAGGATGAGGCATCAGAGTAAGACTTTAGTGGAAAGGACAGCACACAGTCCATAAGGTTTCTAAACACTTCAGGACTCACAATATCCACAAATCTCAGTTAGGCCTACTATCTTACTCTTTATTTGTTGCTTTGCAGGACATCTCTTTACACATCAGTAGGCTGTGACAATAAAAGAATCTACCTGTCTACCTTGCTCAGATGAATATGACAAATGAAAAGTTACCCCAAAAGGATTTGTAGCATCTCCATTGCTCTGCCCTAACATTCCTTCTAAAAACACATTAATAACCACCCCAAAAGGAGTCAGATGGCCACCACTAAGTCTGTGACCCAAGGTGGACAAATACAAAAAATATACACCAAAACATTCAGAACAACAATCTTTGTGGTAGCAAAGAACTAGAAACAAATTGTATGCCCATCAATTGGGAAATGGCCAGGAAAAAAAAAAACTCCCTACAAGATTCTAATGGAATCTTGTGCAGTCATAAATGGCAAAAACAAAGAAGGCAGAGAGACATGGAAAGCTTTGTATTAATTGATTCATAGTAAAATAGGCATAGCTAAAAGGGCACCATACAAATGACTACAACAATGTAAAGGAGAAAAGGAAATTGGCTCTGAGTAACTGGAAAAACCAATGATATGCTCGGAGGAAAAAAACTGTGACGTATAGCTCCCTCCTGTAAACAAAAGTTGTAGGATTAGGATGGTAAAATATTGTATATGTTCTCAAATGCTATTCCTCAATCAGGTGTTTTTGTTCTAATTTTTTTTCAATGTTATAAGGGAGGGTTCAATTGGAGGGGGGAGATTTTCATAAATTACCTTGGTATAAAGGCAAAGGGTATTACTAAAACTGTTTTTTCTCAGGAAGGAAAGGGAAGGAAAAAGGAAGGGAAGAGAAGAGAAGAGAAAGCAAGGGAAGGGAAGGGAGGAAAAATAGGCCCATTTGAAAGATATCCTGTATAAAAACAAAAAAATTATATCTAGCATCTTTTAAATAATAATAGCTCAAGTGGAATATACTATACAGTTACTGTCCACTTTCTTCGAAATATCATATGAATTAAGTAGCAAAGTATGATTATCCCCATTTTATAGATGAAAAGATACTTGTTTAGAGCTAAACAACTAATAGATATTGAAGTTGAGACTCAGACTTAGTAGTTGTCCCTCCAGTCCAAGGGTCCTGGCTATCTACACTGCTTTGCCTCTCAGGAATGTAAAGCAAGAAGCTCTAAATCCACCAACTGGGCTGATGCAGATCCATGCCTCTAGTTTTTCACAGGAAATTATTAAATTAAACAAGATTTCAAGACAACTTATGTTTTTAGTGGTTTGTCATTTATCTCTTGAAAACATATTCACATAAATGAAGTCATTCACATGGAATATAAACAATACTCAGATGATGACACAGGTTTTAGAAGTTTATATTTATCATTCACCCTATGGAGTACTAGCCTGGTGAGCTTGAAAAGAAGTTTCGGTTTACCCATTACTGAATTCTGTGCTAAAACTTGCACTGCTAGGAATCCCAACCGAGAAAAATGATTATTTTCTATTATATTAACCCATTAATAATTATGATCCAGCCTTTTTTTTCCTCATTCAAGGACTGGCCCCCTATAGGTCAGTTAGCCAGTCTCGAAAGGACATGGCTGATAAAATTGCTCTATCTTTGCTCCTCATTTTGGGTAAGACAACCCCCCCCCCCCAGCTAGGACACCTTACTTCTGTAAACAGAGCTGGTCTGAGAGGAGATGGATTCTTCTGTCCAGATTGCTGAAGGCAGTTGAGTCTCACAATGAAGCCACATTCTAAGTAGGAGGAGCTAAACACTCCTAACCTACTCCCTCATTAATTGTTCACCATTCAGGGTTGATTTTCACCTGTCTGGGGCACCCACTTTTCCAAAAGTATATTAAAGTTTCCAGTCTCTTCAGGACCTTTGTCTGCTTACTGAAAGAAACCACTGACCATCAATTTATTGATTATTGGTTAGCCTAACTAATAAACTGATCATTAATTAAACCAGAAATTCTGTCTCTTGGGTTTTTTCTTTTGTTACACGACCTTTCCTTGCTTGATTTAAGTTGCAGTGTAAACATTCACAATAAACCTCATTTTGGCACCTTGTGTCAGAGTTGTGTCAATTTTTTAAAAAGAGCACAATTTGGAGCAGAGTTCCTTTTTAAAATGTTCATATTTAATAATTTATAGTGATTTACAAGTTAGTCAAGAATAAACAGTTTCTAACCTCTTACTTGTTTATTTATTGACTAACATCTTACTTTTAAGTGGTCTTAAAATGTGAAGTAGATCAAAATCTCTCCTGAAAATTCCTGTCAGAAAAAGGGAAAACATAAAATAGTCTCCAATCATCATTTCTCTATACAGCTTCCTCTTCCATATACGCACTCAAATAAAACAAACATTACAGAAATTTGTCCATGTGGCCAATCCAGGGAGATAATGGTAAATTATTGAAAGCCAGAAATGATAATTACAGCATTTCAATACATCAGTAGGTCTGTGACCTCATTTCTATGGATATGCCCTTAACAATACCAATCAAAGGCCATCCACACCTTCATGTCCTGCTCAATACTTATCAATTTCCTTCTGTAAATCCTGCATGGGAGTCAACAGAACATGATAGGACTTTCTACCAGATCTCTTGATATTATATGGGAATGGTATAGGGGGTTGTCACCTTGCTCTTGCTTTATGACTAGCCCATCTCCTCAGGTGATGCATCTCTGTCATTATCTTTTATGGCACTTGTATGTAATTTGAAAGTGGTACTTTATGCTTGAGTCTATTAAGATTGCCAGGCATCCCTCCATTGCACTTTGAATGACACATAATTTTGATTCCTTCAAAACTGTGGTATTCTATTATTTAAAACCATCTAGTATTATGGAAAAATATGCTAAATGTGAAAAAAAGGTGGGATTTCATTTCAGAAAGAAACCAGGGGTAAAACAAAGGATTTCATAATTTCCCAAACACAATCAAACCCATTTTTTCCTCCTCTTTAATTTTGAATCAAGTTCATTGTCCAAGACTTGTATACCAAGGAACCAGCCCTATGATGCTCACTGAAGTGGCATTATTAATTTAAATTTGCTTCTTTTTATAATCCTATTGGTACATAGGTTTCTAAGTAAACTCTCATTTACTCTTGGGAGAATTTTATGGGTATTTTTAATAAAAGAAAAATCAAAAGAAATATTCCACATGTAATGAGTGTGATCTAGAAAGAAAGGAAGCATGACTTAATGAACAGATGGCCAGCTTTCAAGTTAAAAAGACCTGGTTTCAAGCCCAACCTGTGACACATATGGCTTGTATCATGGACAAGTCACTTTTCCTCTCAGTACCCCAGGCAACTTAGTAAGACTATTAAATTACAGTCAAGCTGGTAATAAGCATCAATAGAGATTCTCAACACCTGGAGTTGTCTATTGTTATTATTATTATTGTTGTTGTTGTTATTATTATTATTATTATTCTGAACTTAAGAAATAAAACAAGCCTGTCCATAATATAGCAGAATATGAAAAAAAGATGATTATACATGAAACTGCAAATTCATTATGTGCAACTTGCTATTCCTTTTAAATATGTAATAAAGTTATCACAAACACTTTTTTCTTTTTTCCCTTTTTTTCCTTCCCTCTCCTTCCCCCAGGGATGGCTACCATTGGACACAAATTTATATATATATATATATATATATATTATATATATATATATATATATGTACACATATGTAAAGACATTCTGTACATACTTCTATTTATCAGTTCTTTCTCTGAATCCTTCATATGTTCTTTGGTAGTTAATTTGGGTATTTAAAATAGTCAAAATGATTTAGTCACTCAAAATTGTTCCTAAAACAATATTGTTGTTACTATATACAATGTTCTCTTGGTTCTCCTCATTTCACTCTTCATCATTTTGTGCAAATCTATCCATGTTTTTCTAAGAACATCAAGTTCATCATTTCACACACACACACACATATATAAAACACACTATATCTATCTATCTATCTAGATACAGATAATGAATTTTTGATATGGATGAAATCATCCAGTCCATCCAGACCTTCCCCCACATTCCAAAAAAAAGTAGACTTGGAAATGAAAAATTATGCAGCTTCAAAAATCTATGACTCCATGGGTCCAAAGAGACTGTAAAAGAAAATAAGCCAATGGGGAAAAAAAAAGTGACCAGTTATGAACAGCATATGAAAGAGAAATTGAAAACCTTTTAGAACAAAGTTGTGAGAAGAGGAACAAAAAGAACAAAGAAGGAAGGGCATTAAAGTCATGGTTGTGTGAGATTAAGCTCTGTAGAATCAGAACAACAGGATAGGAAAAATAATCCATAAACCCAACAGTGTTCAAATGAGTTACAATTTAATCTCGGCCAATCCAGAGAAGGCTGTCTTTCCCTCAGACTTTGTGTGCCATCCAGGACTGAAAAAAAAGCCCAGCAGGAAAAGAAAGTGGATGGTGCTCAAAGAACTCTAAGAAATAGGACTACACAGAAATATATGCATTCAACATTTGGAGGAGGTGGAAAGAGAAGATCATTTTGGAACTTCTAGATGACTGATTGATTATGATTGCAGCATCATTAACTTCAAAGCCTCAAGATGTAAAGCAAAAAGAGTTGTTTTCTGCAGTCCATTCAATTAAAAATATTTATTAAACACTCTCAATGTCCACATTCTCTTCCTGTTGATAGGGTAATGCTATTACCAAAAGAAAAATGTATTCTACTTGTTAAAATGAGACCCAATCACCATCATTATCATCAGCAACAATAACAAAAATGATTACTAGCTTGCAAACCTGGGAAAGTCATTTAACCTCCGTTTGCCTCAGTTCCATCAACTATAAAATGGGGGTAATAACAGCACTTACCTCACACAGTAGTGATGAGGATCAAAAGAGATAATACATGTAAAGTGCTTAGCACAGTGCCTGAAACATAGTAAGCACTATATAATTCCTAATTCTCTTCCCTGTCCCCATTTATTTTTTTTTACCATTCTTATAAAATATTTGCAAATCATACATGCTTCCAAAGCCAAGTATTCAGTGTTCCATAAAAGGAAAGGCTGTTCATTACAGTAGGTCAGTAAGTGCTCATGTGCTCTAGGCTACTCTTCTTCTACAGAAAGACTTTGTTACTCAAAGAGGTAGCAGGTCACAGTGGATAGAAAGTGGGCCTCAGAGTCAGGAAGACTCAAGTTCTTCTGTCTCCACCACACACTGACTATGTAACTCTAGGCAAGTCACTTAACCTCTGAGTGTCCCAGATAACTGTCTAACACCATAAGTTTTAAGAAAGGTGCTGACCCACATTGGTAGAAGGAGTTGCTCATGAAAAGCTTTTTTCACTGTTATAATCAGGTCTGATTTTTTTTAAATCTACCGAGAGAATTCAGATATGTAAATAAATGTACAAAAACGCATTTATGAAGAGAGACAGACAGACAGAGGACAGACAGATTAGACAGGCAGAGAGAAGAGTGAGAGAGACAGAGACAGAGGAAAGGGGACAGAGAAAGAGAAAGGAAGAGAGAAAGAGAGAAGGAGGGGGAGAGGGAAAGAAAGAAAGGGGGAGAGAGGAGGGAGAGACAGACACAGAGACAGAGAGATTTGTAAAGCACCTACTATGTGGAAGTTCACTATACTAAGGCCGGGCATACAAATACAAGCAAAAAGAGAGTCCCCACCCTCAAGGAACTTACATTATAGTGTATGATGACAATACATAAAGGAAGCTGAACTAGTGGGGGGCAAATTGGAGAAAAAGTCTGGGGAGTCATGGGCTGGTTGGAATTTGAAGTAATAATGCTTGGTGTAGGTACTTCCTTTAGTGCAAGTTGAAAGCAACTCTCCAACTGGAGGAAGATATTGGAAGGGAGGAGTCCTCGCCAACATGAAACGAAGGGCCCCAGAACAGAGATGGAGAGTCCAGAGTTATAGACTAGTCCAGGTTTTAAGTGATTATATACACATTGCTAAGCACTGAGGATACAAAGAGAAAAAGGGACACAAGTACTGTTCTGAAGGAACTCACACTTTAATTAGGGGAGACAACAAAGAAAACGAAATTCAGTTACATGGCAAACAGAAAGACTCAGGAGTTCTAAGGGTATAGCAGTGGATGAAATGGCCAGACTGAGAGGTCTGTTAGTCCTGTAAGTAGGTCAGATGGTGGAAAGCAGAGGCATCAAACACCCTGCCCAGGCAGCCCATTGAGCTGTAACACTCCTGAGGGCCAGAAACAGATTAAAATATAATTAAGAAATATTTAACAAACAAAAATACAGGAAATCATTATATTAAAATTTAAAACTAAGCCAATAGGCACCCCCAACAGGGATCCTTGAATATGATTTAGTAGCCCTTATTTCTATTTAAGTTTGACACCCCTGATGTAGAGGCAGAACAGATGGGAAGGCCTAGTGGTCCTCACAGGAAGGAGAAGAGCTGTGGACGCCCATCTGATCCAGTCCTGGGAGCCTTCATTTTTGTATACCTGAACTAAAACGTTACTATTTGCCAAAGGCTTTTCAGTCTTTCCTGTAACACACTCACCTTGCTGCTCTGCAGGCCCTGGAGAGTATAGTTTTTAAGCATTAAAAATATGTTTGCTATATCTTAGACAAATATCTTCCTTGTTTACCCCTAGTAACAGCTTTATTAGAAAAGAGTGGGAATCATCTTATAATTTTATTTTCTCTCTCTCTCTCTCTCTCTCTCTCTCTCTCT